CCAACACACCAACACACCAACACACCAACACACCAACACACCAACACACCAACACACCAACACACCAACACACCAACACACCAGCACACCAGCACACCAGCACACCAGCACACCAACACACCAACACACCAACACACCAACACACCAACACACCAACACACCAACACACCAACACACCAACACACCAACACACCATCCCACCAACACACCAACACACCAACACACCAACACACCAACACACCAACACACCAACACACCAACACACCAACCCACCAACCCACCAACCCACCAACACACCAACACACCAACACACCAACACACCAACACACCAACACACCAACACACCAACACACCAACACACCAACACACCAACACACCAACACACCAGCACACCAACACACCAACACACCAACACACCAACACACCAACACACCAACACACCAACACACCAACACACCAAGACACCAACACACCAAGACACCAACACACCAACACACCAAGACACACCGACACACCAAGACACACCGACACACCAAGACACACCAAGACACCAAGACACCAAGACACCAAGACACCAACACACCAACACACCAACACACCAACACACCAACACACCAACACACCAACACACCAACACACCAACACACCAACACACCAACACACCAACACACCAACACACCAACACACCAACACACCAACACACCAACACACCAACACACCAACCCACCAACCAACACACCAACCCACCAACCAACACACCAACACACCAACCAACACACCAACACACCAACACACCAACACACCAACACACCAACACACCAACCAACACACCAACACACCAACACACCAACACACCAACACACCAACACACCAACACACCAACACACCAACACACCAACACACCAACACACCACCACACACCAAACACACCAACACACCAACACACCAACACACCAACACACCAACACACCAACACACCAACACACCAACACACCAACACACCAATACACCAACACACCAACACACCAACACACCAACACACCAACACACCAACACACCAACACACCAACACACCAACACACCAACACACCAACACACCAACACACCAACACACCAACACACCAACACACCAACACACCAACACACCAACACACCAACACACCAACACACCAACACACAACACACACACACAACACACACACACAACACACACACACACACAACACACAACACACAACACACAACACACACAACACACAACACACAACACACAACACACAACACACAACACACAACACACACAACACAACACACAACACACACAACACAACACACACACACACACACACACACACACACACACACAACACACACACACACACACAACAAACACACACACACACACACACACACACACACACAGACACCAAGGCCAGAATCCCCAACACAAGCGCCCCTGAGTCCGTGGTGTCTTGGGGCAACCTGGCCGTCGAGCAGTGCATCTTCGCAACCTGGCGTGGCTGCCTCAGACCTCGGGAGGTCTGAGGAGGCCTGTGCCAAGGCCTGCAATGCCTATATCTTAGGACCAAGCCCGTCAGCAAGACCCCACAGTCAAGCCGCGAGCTATCGTGCCGATGAGCCTCACATCTGACGCCCAGAGTCCCATGCAGCAAATGGAGTCATACTTGACACCAGGCATCCGCAAAGCTTCAATCGCCAGATTGCCAGAAGTGAGACACCTACCTCTGCCTAAGCTATTTCCGTGCCACATGCATCCACAAGGCAAGCTCTGCCTCACCCACCATGCCGAGTTTTCTGTCCGGCCCCTGGATTCTTGCAGTGTTTGGGTGTCTAGGTGTCACAGGATCATGAACGGGCAGTATGCCCTGCAACAGGCTCATGGCTGAAGTTCGGAAGGCTGCGACGGATGTCCAGCAAGTTTTCCGAGGTCACACGGCTCTTTGCAGCGCAGCGAATAGGCCGATCCATGCACTCTGTGGGGCAATTTTTGGGGGTTTTATGAACATGGGGGGGGCCCCTAAAACAGACCCCCCGAAATGGTAGGATCCCCTTATACTGGGGACCCCAATAAGGCACCCCTAGTATCATGAACCCCCATCTGTGCTACCTTTGACTGCAGTTCTCACGAAGGAGGCAGGCGCATCAGCCTGCCTCCCTACTTCTCTCTTGCGCTGCCTGAACCCGAGCTTTAGACCAGGAATCCTCTCGCAAAACCTTGAACCCTAAGTCTGCATCCCAACAAGAAGCATTTAACACCATAGTTTTGTCCCTACCAATATTCTGCGAGGAAGGGCCTTGATGGCAAGACAGCGGCTTGCCCTGCGGCACTGGTCGAACCAGGCGCCTAGTTACTGGCACTTGGAGGGTAGGAGAAGCTACCATGATCACTTCTGACTGGTTATGAAAACCTGAAGTAGGGGGTGCTTGAGAACCCTAAGCCCCTCAGCCCAGAGGTCCCTACCCTTTGCAACCTCCCATGAAGCTGGGATCAGTCGCAGCCTGCGCAGAGCCTGAGCGCAGAAGATTTGGAGGGTCTTTCAGGCTTTTCGGTTCGGGTTTAGGGTTTACAGGGTAGGGGGTAGGGGGGGGGGGGTAGCTTTGGAGACTTTCAACCAGAGCTTGCCCAGTTTTTCTATATCCCAGCTATAACTTCCCGATTCAGGGTTGGGGGGGTTCGTGGATGTTTGAGGGTTCGGGGTTTAAGGTTCATGGTTTAAAGCGCTGTTAGGACTGTGAGGATCAACACCAAGTTTCCTGACACGGGTATTCCTTAAATAGTTTCATTTCTTGGAGGTTCATGGGTAGTTCTAACTGATTATGGTAACTATACTTACCACCCTATTTAGGGTACCTATAACCTTACTAATAATTACCCATGAACCTCCAAGTATGCTTTGCGGAAAATTCCTCGTCGGAGGCCATACAAATGGCGACGGCCGCCTTGCAGAACCAGGCCGGCTGGATGTGCTTGGTGACATTGGCGTCAGAACCCAGCCACATCCCAATTTAATCCCTTTTTTTGGAGGGGGGGGGGGGGAGGGGGCGCGGGGGGTCCTGCCAGAAAAGTTCCGATATGAAGGGGTAGTAAAGGCAAAGGGTTGGGCTGTGTCTTGACATCCCGAAGTTCGAGCCCCACAACGAAACCACGAAGCTCCTAGCGCCAAGCAGTCTCAGAGATTGCCAAAAGCTCGGCTAGAAGGTTCATTTGTAGTTCGAAGGGTTGTGTTTCTTGGAAAAGATGTGTAACTACTGTTAGCTGTACTTACCAGCTACCCATGAACCTCCAAGTGCTACGGCCCTCCCCCATTGTTGCATGCGGGCTCCTTAGGTTTCCTTGTACACCCCGTAAGCAAGGAAGGGCCCACTCCCCCCCCCCGCCTCCTGTGTTCTCCATGGGTTCCCTTGGAAAGCGAGTGAGCAAGTGAGCAAGGAAGGGTATGGGTAGCCAAAGTGTCCTTAAGCACTGCTTGCTTATCTCCCAGGTAGCCTGAGAAAGGGGGCAAGGCCTCTGCAAAGCTAAGCCGCCCTGAAGGCACCAAAGCCTCAAAGGGGGGTTCAGGGTGGCTCCGAAACCACAAACCCGAAACCCTACAACCTGAAAACCCGAAGCCCTTTGGGATGAAAATCTCCAGGTCAAGAAACTCGACATGCTCCACCTCGCCAACCTGCCGCGACCTTGACCGCGGGAGGGCTCGGGACTGCAACTCATTTCGCTTGTCGACCTTTTGGAGATGGTGATTGCTGAAGATTAGGGGTGCCTTTATTATGTGCCCCCAACATATGACAGGCCTTGCTAGGGAACTTCGAAATTAAGTACTTCTAATTCTCGGAAGCCCCCCACATGTTTTTGATGCCTTTTTTTGGGTCCTGCCAACAAGGTTTCTCAGGGAGAGTTGTGAAGGCCAACCATTTACATAGCCAGCAGGGCTGGGGGAATGGTAGTTTCTTTAACTTTTAACAGCAACATCAAACCATGCGAATATAGAAGCTCTGAAGTTTGCACAACATGCGAGAAGAGAGAGACAGAGAGAGAGAGAGAGAGAGAGAGACTTAGTTTGGGGGAAACACTTCATCGCAAACTCCCCTGTTTTGCATAGTCTCAAGGACTACCGACGCGTTCAGTGCGCGGGGGGTGCGTGCGCCCCTCAAGCCCAGAAGAAGAAGAAGCAGAAGAAGAAGAAGAAGAAGAAGACGAAGAAGAAGAAGAAGAAGAAGAAGAAGAAGAAGAAGAAGAAGAAGAAGAAGAAGAAGAAGAAGAAGAAGAAGAAGAAGAAGAAGAAGAAGAAGAAGAAGAAGAAGAAGAAGAATAAGAATAAGAAGAAGAAGAATAAGAACAAGAGAAGAAGAATAAGAAGAAGAAGAAGAAGAATAAGAAGAAGAAGAAGAAGAATAATAATAAGAATAATGAGAAGAACATTAAGAAGAAGATAAGACAGACAAAACAAGCAGAACGAGAAATGTTGGAAGGACATGGAAGCGCGCTTGCATATTGAAGAGGCTGCCCCGACAAGTTTACAGATGAGGTTCGACGTCAATGTCGACGCCGAGATAGAGCATCGCCACTGGCGTATGCGATGCATCTTCGAGGCTGGGCTGGGTGCGCGCATTGTCATGCTTCGCCATCCCGATGATGCCCAACTCAGCCTTCGACCCCTAGCACGAAAGCTCCTAGCACCCCGACGCAGTAGGGTTATCGTCCTTAAGCTTTCGTCCCCCAGTCGGCTCGGCTCGAAATATATTCCTTCGATGTGTTTGACGGGCCATTGATGCTCATCGCAGTCGGAAGCTGTGGAAGGAAGACGATTATTTCATCGCCGATCCCATGCCTTGATCGTCCATCGTCTCTGCCACCCCAGTCTCGGCGGGCAGCTTGCTCGGGAGATCTCCCCTTGCACCACGAAAGAAACAAGAAGAGGGAAAGTTAACTTAAGCAGGAAGAAGAAACAAGAACATTTCCCAGAATAGAGGTACCCTGTTTATACCCCAAATAGAATAGAATCCCCTCAAAGGGACCTCCAAAAGGGTACCCGTGTTTTTGGAAACCCCCCATTTGCGAACAGACCTGTTCCTTGAGGCGTGGCAGATTGGCTGTCGGCAGCTCGTGCTGGGAGCCTCAGGATCAAGCATGTGGATCTAAGTTCAACTAACGACGCTGTTCTGCTTGTACGCTCCAGGAGCGGCTCACACGACAGCGCAAACCCCTGCACCTCCAGTTGCAGTGTCGTAGCCATCGGACCTGTTTAAGGATGACGATAGCTGCGCTACTGGTTTGACATCTCAAGAAGCGCAGCAGTCGGCGCACAGGTTGTATGCAAGGCACAGATGCAACGAGCCGTAAGAACAGCAATATTGGTGTCAGCCACAGCAAGGAGGAGCAAATGGCATTCTGGTACAAGTGCAACTTGTGCGACTGACGTATCTGCACATGACCGTAGCACTAAAAGCACTGACTCCTGGCCACATCTTTAAATGCCAATCATCTGCAGCAACCCCCTAAACCAACTCCCAAGTCCTTCGCCCCTAGTTAGGCACCGTAGCTCTGGCACCCTAGGCCCCCTAAACCCTAAACCCTAAACCCTAAACCCTAAACCCTAAACCCTAAACCCTAAACCCTGTGGCCCCCTAAACCCTAAACCCTAAACGCTAAACCCGAAACAGGCCCTAGCCCTATGAGGAGTTCCAACAAATGCCCCGAAACCCAGGCTGGAACGTGAGCAGGAGGCAGCCAAACCAGCCAGCAAGGCGCCAGGCCTTGCTTTGGAGCAGCCGCGGAAGGCGCGGTTCAGGGTTTAGGGCTTAGGGTTTAGGGTTTAGGGAGGTCACATGGAGGTCACGTCAGGTAAAGTCAGGATATCAGGGCTCCAAGGAATGGAGCGGATTTAGCGGTGGCAGAGGATGTTGAGGGCTCACCAGGTTTTTTCAGAGCTTACAAGGGCCTTGAGGAGTCTTATATACAGGGGCTTTGCGGCCTAAGCCCCCGAAACTCCGTTTTTCCAAAGCCGAACAACTGAACTCCAACTCTAGCACCCTGTGAGGGATAGCGCAGCTCGTGCAACAAATGCCCTAAAACCTTTGGACCCTAAGTCTGGAAATGCTTCCTAGGGTTTGGGGGTTTGGCCTTTTAGGATTCAGGGCATGGGGTTTCCGCGGGCCCAACCACTTGGCTCCACTTGGTCGACAGGTCCGCGCGCTGCGTGGCCTGCCTGCACTGAGCCTAAGGCCTCGAAGGTTGGGTTCGAAAGTCTAGCCACACGGGGTGCCAAAAGGTCACAGACTTCCGGTCATTTGAGCCAGCACTGCTGGGCTATACAAAGATGAGAGTCAAGAGCAGGAAAGCATCCCCAGACCCTGCACCCTGAACTCTCAACCCTATGAGGTCGGGTGGAGACTGCCAGCAAGGGATAAACCCTCTTGCCTTTAAGCCTTACCTTAGGTATGTATATATATATATATATATAGATAGATAGATAGACAGGGCTTGCTCAGGTTATTTGGGTGTTCTTCCGGGCATCCCCATTGGGGGGACGTCCCCTCGAGGTCGCCTCATCCGCTGGCACCGCGCCTTTGATGAGCCGCTGAGCGTGCTGCCCGTGGCCTTTGCCGCCTGGAGCCCTCCGTGCACAGAAACGCTGGGAGGTTGCCATTCAGGGTTTCGAATATCAGAGGGTTTATCAGTTTATCAGCTTTCGAGTCGTTTCTGCTTCTTCAGCTGGAGGGTTTAAGGAGTGTGTCTGAGAAGCTTGTGGACTCGTCAGACCGAGTTCAGGGAAACTTTCCTCAACCCTGAGCCGTGAATCCAAATGAAAGGGCAGAGCGGCAGAGTAAACCATCTGCAGACGTAGCCCGTTGCGCCCAAGACTCTAGACTGCTGAACGGCCCGGAAGCCGGCTTTGGGGTTCAAGGTTTAGGTGAGGGTTTAGGGTTTAGGGTTCAGAGTTTAGAGTTTATAGGGTTCAGGGTTTAGAGTTGCTTCAGGGTTTCGAGCTTTGTGCCTTTGTGGCGGCAGGACGTTGATCACGGTGGAGGATGGCATTGAGTCGCGTGCGCAAGGCAGGCTGATAGGTCGAACCTAGATCTCTTGTGATGGAGTGGCCAGTCCTGGTGTGTGCATTGTATGACGTCTGTACGTCAGCATGTATGATGCCTATTCTGCGTGTAAAACCTTTAGGCTCTGTTTGACGGGAGGTTTGCGCAGTTTTGGGTACGTAAGATTGTCCAAATGTTCCATGGAAATGTTCAGATGTTCCTTTTCAAGCAACTTAGTCGGGAGGATGCACCTGCCTTGCAAAGTACTCGCTGTTCGGTTGCTCGGCAAGGCCTCGTACTTCAACCCAGGACCCCCAAAAACCCTAAACTTCAGGTCTTGTGGATCATTCTGCGTGTTTGCGCAGTCGCTGCTTGGCTGCAGCCAGCTATGGGTTGTGGCTGGATGTGGGCGACTTAGTGCGATAATTGCTTGGAGGTTCCTTGGCGGATGGCAGGCGAGTCATAAGTACTCCTCCGCCCGCAAAAAGTGCAAACAGACCTGCCCAGCCACAAGTGGACGTCCCCTGTTTGAAAACCTCCAATAACTCTACTACCAAGTTAGATCCACCCATGAACCCACAAGTGAAGTAGGAGATTCTCGAGAGCACGTGCGCTGCTGAAATCTGATTCCTCCTGTGGCTGAAGCTGAACTTTCGCGAAATCCAATTCCCGCTGCCGCTTCAGCTTCGGAAACGGGTTGACCTGACCTTCCATCATTACTTTCTTTACTTGGCGTTGCTTCGCTGCCCTTTGCGTTACGATGCCTATGCACGTTTCAGGGTTCGACTTCTCCCCGTGATTCCTGTCCCTTTGCAAGGCTTCCGCCTGGCTGCCGAGCGGTTGTTGAAACGGCGGGTGGCGGCAATGCAGAGGCATGGCTTGGGCGCTTGGGGTTCAACCAGCTTGACGTAAGCTTTGTACCTGAACTCGAAAACCTTGCAAATCTTCAACTCGGCACCCGAATCTTAACTTCTCACATGCTCCCCAGATGGCAGCTGGTCGCGCGAGCGTTTGCAGCCTTCCTGGCGGGGCGGCAGCGGAGGCGGCGGCTCTCCGTGGTGACGCGCCTCTGCGCCGGGGTCGACCTGCTCACCTTGAGGCCGCCCGTGCGCGGGTGCATTTTTACTTGAGCAAATTTGGTAGCTTCTCTATAAGTGATGGTCCCTTTTGGGTTGCTGTTATAAGACGGCCCCTAAGATCTTAGGGCACCCACATTTTTGTAAGAACTGACCAAATGCAGGTCACAGGGGTTCAAAGCTGAGTTTTTGCCTGTTTTGGAGATGGGGCTCCTTCTTCCCTCCATCCCTCTCCATCCCTGTTCTGAACCCAAAGCCCGAAACCGCAAGCCCCAAGAAAGCGCTGAGCTCTAGCTCCGTTCCGAAGGCGACAATTGTCGAAAGTAGGGACCTTAAACCTCCAGGGTCCTGCGAAAAGATTGTTTCCGGCTTCGATTCAGGCTTTCGGGCTTGGAGGGCTGAATCTGTGCCAGGCCCTCTTGGGATCTCTTGGGCCTTCTGCTTAAACCCTACACCCCAGACCTCCCTAAACCCCTTTTCAGGAGGGCTCTGCTCCAGTGGTCTCAGCTTCTGCACTTCCGATGGAAGCTGCGAGCTTCTGGGGAGAAGAGAACCTTCGAGGCCTTCCACGCCCGGATTTCTTGGAAGTGGTTGCAGTGATTGATGTGGTTCAGGGTTGCTGGGGTGGCTATGAGTGGTGTCGCCACCTGCCCCATTTTTGTTTTAGAATATGTAACTGCTCTTACGACTCCTACAATGCACTAATGCACTATCGGTCATGCGCCCGTTGCTGCAATCATGCGCTCGTTTGCAGGATGCCCAAAGACCCTGGAACCCAAAAGCCTGAAGCCTAAGCCGACCTTAAAAACCCTGAAGGCCCTAAACGCTAAGCAGCCTTATTGAAGCCGAGTGCCTCCTGCAGCCGGACGTCAGGCGCAGGCGAAGGGTTTAGCTGTGCGGCTTCTGCGGTTTCACAGCTCCCTGGCGAAGCGTCAGGGTACTGTCCGGGTACAGCTTAACGTTGAGGGATTGGGGGGGTCTAGAGTTCTTGTGGTTGAGAATTTTTCGGTTCCAACTCGGGGGAGTCTCTGCAGAGTTGTGATACTCTCTTGGACCTCTGTTCTACAAGCAAGGCTCGAGGGTTTCAGCACCACCCTGCCATGTATGACCGGTGTCGTGTCTTGCTGGTGGCATCTCATGCTAGGGCCACCTCTCTTAGGATTGTGCCATGTGGGAGATTCGACGTCTAGGAAGGTGCCAGGGGACAGCAGTGTATCCTTGCAGAAAGTGCGCCGATTGAGGGTTCAGGCGGAGGGGTCAATTTAAGTGGCCTTGGCACTTCTGGGATTCGAGAGAGCTCGAAACCCGAACCAGGCTCCACGCACTCATTCATCTCCTTGGCCATTGTCTGGACGGGTTGGAGAAGTTGGTCCCTGAGGCGGCTTAGGGCGGCCGGTGGCACTCGGGCGTAGCGTGGCCCTAGGAGGAATTCGTTTGGAGGGTTCAGGGTAGGTAGTAGGGTACGTGGGGTTTGCTAAGAGGAGTCTTCGGCAATGTGCTGCCATGTTTCAAGGGCGCTGAGCCAGCCCTTCTCTCAACGTTGGGCTGGGAACTGAAATCCAACGGCGAAAGGTCCTAAGCATTGTCGCCGTCAGCCTTCCTGTATCATACCCAGACACTGAACCCCAATCACGTCATGCTTCGAAGGCGCTGAGTGCGGGCTCATAGCACCAATGGAAGAATTGAAAAGGGGCCAGCCCTAAATCCTAAGCGACGCCGAGCCCTAAACCCTAAATGAACCCTAGACCCTTTTTGAGCTTTTCTTGACAGGAACCGGCCCCTTTTGCGGCCTGCAGCTCAGAGTATTTGTCCGTGACTCCATGGTAGATTTCCCCCTTCCCCCCCAAATGGGGAGTCTAGCCCTAAGGCTCCAAGGACTCTTATTTAAGGTTTTTCTGGGCCCAAAGGCCTTATCATACAAGGCTTTTTGGGGGGCGATTTTGAGGCTAAGGGTAATGCGGGGGTACAAAGAAAGCCTTCAAACCCCGCCAAGGCTGCGGCTCGAGCGCCTGACAGACGTGCAGCGGTCAGCCAC